AGGCCTCCTCCGGATTCCATCTGCCGGTCAATGTCGGCTGGCGACCCCCCGGGAGGAGGCCCTTCTCTGTAGTTGCTCCGGCCCTATGGAACGATCTCCCCGTTGAGATCAGGACCCTTACTACCCTTCCAGCCTTCAGCAAAGTGACTAAGACCTGGCTGTTCCGGCAGGCCTGGGGCTGTTGAATCATCCAGCCCCATCCTAAGTTATGAATGTTGTTGAATTTTTAATTGTTTTTTATTTTTATATCCCCCCCCTTCCCTTTTTATTTGTAAGCCGCCCTAAGTCTTCCGAGAGTGGGCGGCATACAAGCTAATAAAATAAAATAAATAAATAAATGGGGGGACTTGGCTGTTGGTTTCTTCACTTTTAAATGTTCCCGCTCCTCCCCTGGGCCCTAATCCCTTTGGGCAAGCTAATGGTTTATTGGACCGACCGGCCAGGTCTTTTGATTAGGTGTGCCAAGCACGCGGAGGACACAACACAGCTGCTCAATGTCATTTTCGCCAGGGAAGAGAGGAGAATTGTTGAGAAGTTCAGCAAAGATACAGCCGACTGCCCTGGTTAAAGAGAAAAAAAGAGGTAGCTGGATGAAGGGATAAGGGGAAACATCTCTGTCATCCAAACAATCACTCCCTTCCCTAACCAGTTTCCTGCTTCTTATGCAGTGAAACCTCTTTGATTCTTGATTTCAATATGTTTTTCCCCCCCATGCAAATATTTCAATGTTCCATTTTATAGACTTCCATTTCTTTTGTGCAAATTTGCATTCTTTTTTGCTTTCCTCATTTGGGATAGGCTTCCCTTTTCTGAAGGAAGATTCCTTTCCTCCAGATTTCCCTAACTAATGTTGATTAATCGGGATGATGGTAATAACACTTTTCTGGATCTAGGAAATATATTATAAGTAAACGTTGATGATTGTATTTCTGAATGATTTCCTAGCATTTTGGAGAAACCTGGATTTTTTTTTAACTTTCTTTCAACATTTGCTTTCTAATTTCCTCCTTTAAAAAAGTATAATTATATTGGATTCCCTTGGCAATTTTCCACCTGCTGTGCATATCAATTATATCCGGTGGCATTGTGGTCAAGGCTTTCAGTCAGTTCAACAACTGCATCTCTAACACTCCAAGGTTACCCTCTTAAAACAGCCCAGAAATAGAACATTCCAGACTGATAAAGTGAAAGAGATCAAAGCTGCTCACCACAGGTCTACACCTTCATCATACTTTCGAGCACCGTACAGCAATTCGGGAGCCCGATACCACCTAATTGGGAAGAGTACACAAATTATATTATACACCTCTCTATTCATCTCTCACAATGTAACTCAATTCTAGCCCCCATAACATTCAAGTCTGGTGCCAACAAGACTCCAGCACTTCCTTTACATTGAGGACTGATTTCAAAGTTCTTGGAATAAGGTCAGAACTGGGAATCTAAGACCCCTCGGAATGTCGCTGAGCTATTTTGTCCAACTTCCATTACCACCAGTGGTAGGTTTCAAAAATTGTTCGAACCTACTCTGTGGGTGTGGCCTACTTTGTGGGAGTGGCTTGCCACCCATGTGACCGGATGGGAGTGGTTTGCCGCCCATGTGACTGGATATGAAGATGCCGACGACNAGCCTATTTAAACTGCAGTGTCTCTGTATGCTGGTTTGTGTGTTCTCCAACACAACTCTCACAACGCTTCTCTGAACGCACTCGCTCTCCCAACAGGAAGCTTACCTAACAGGTAGTTACAGTTCTCAATGTATCAAAAGTAGTATTTTTTAGAAAAGAAGTTGTCCAGGTCAGAAGAAAAGAGCAAAATGCATTCTTCTGGAATCATCTCATTTGAATACATTATCCTCAAAAATTGAATAGTCATTTGTTTCAGGAGAAAAACATTTATAGAAATGGTAGACATTTTTCTAGTATGCCATAAACTGTTACTCTTAATAAGATTTCTCTAAAATTTCAAGAGGGACACAAAATAATATTTTAATACTTTCAAACAAGGTCAGCACAATCTGTATGACTTACCACTAAAAACAAAACTGTTCCAATTAAAATTGAGATAGTCCCAATAAGTTTGTGTTTGTTTTGTTTGATATTGTTTGATATCAACACAATGTTGCTATTGTATCTCTGAAATTAGTCTTGGAATACACATTTAAATTTTCAACTGAATATTATTTGAGATACCAACTCTTATCTGTGAATAAAATCACTGGGCATAGAAAATAGTTTCATTATATATACCTTATATGTATGCTTACATAATATGAAATCAAATATTTTGCAAAGATGAGAGACTATTGATACAATAATCCCTTATTAAAAGCAATCATGAAAAGAAAATAATACTTTTATAATTGTATTTTTTGTTTTCTTATACTGTTGTAAAATGGCAACAAGAAAGTGTGAAGGTGACAAGTGTGCAACATGTCTCAGTGTGAATGTTTGTGTGCAGCTAAAAGTAAGCCAGTTGTGTGAATTTGGGCCAGTCAGTTTCTCTCAGCCCTAGGGAGAAGGCAATGATAAATCACTTCTGAAAAATCTTGCTAAGAAACGTGCAAGGACTTGTTCAAGTAATCTTCAAGAATTGGACATGACTGAATGGGAAAAAAGGATGTGACATTGGAGAATTGGGCTAGCAGGAATAGCCTAGTATATCTGCTTAAGTAAAAGCAGTTCTGAATTGCCGAGTCTCAGCATTTTCTGAACACAGATAAGTCATTAGGCACATTATGTTGAAAAAGTAAAACATTTTCATCCATTAGAATTACAATTGAGATGATGTAAAAAGTAAGAAATGGATCAACTTACGTTAATTAATTCAATATCCCATATTTTCTTTGCAAGGTCCATTGATGTATAGCCATTTATCAAAAAGGGCTTGATATAATCTCCCAGTTCCAGAGAATCTAGCCATTCTGCTACAGAGGTGGGGTTGTAGCCATCACTGCCTGTCTGTTTCATCTGAAATATAAAAATTCAAAGTAATTTTGAAGTGCATTATCATTATTAGATTTGTTGTAATAAATAAAATAAAAAGAACATTATATCATAATATTTAAATTAGAAAAATACTAAAATGTATCTCTAATACAGTGTTTCTCAACCTTGGCCACTTGAAGATGTCCGGACTTCAACTCCCAGAATTCCCCAGCCAGCATTCGCGGAGATCTTCAAGTGGCCAAGGTTGGGAAACACTGCTCTAATATAATACTCTTTAAATTTCTTCAAGGGAGGCTATTTGTAATATGCCTCTAAATTGCATGACTTTGTGCCATATGGGGGGAATTACAGTTAGTTTGGATATGGAATTGATGAACACAAACATACATACACATCAAAGAGTTCATGGTAGGCAGCTGAAAGAAGTTTTCGTCTTCCCTTTCCTGTGTATGTTGTCAAATACATTGGCAAAATAATATGTCTTTTTACAGGTAGTCTTCAACTTTCTATATGGAGTCTGGGAGATCACCTTCGAAAGGTGGAAGAACTAGCCAATCCACCCTGAGGCCTCCATACAGAAAAGTTATTTAATGCCATCCCAGAAGCAGGCACCATTTTGAGAGCGAACACAGTTCTTAGATTGTGAGAAATGTGATCATTTCCAAAATGGAACCCATTTCTGCAACAGCACCACACTCCACACAGCCTCTCTATAGCAAGGCTCTGTGGTGGCTTGGCAGCTTCTTCCTGAAGGCAGTCTTCAGAAAGGAATGGGAGGAAGGAGTGAGACTCAGCAAAAAAAGAAGCAGTCCCATGGCCTCTGGGGACCATGCAAGACTGGAAGCAGATCACTAAATAACTTGGGGTGAAGGAGGTTGCAATGCAGGCCTAGGCCTGCACCAGGTCTCCCAGGACATCCTCAACTCCTTAGGTCCCTGTACTCCACTTAAAACCTACATAGTTGATTAATGATTGCAACAGGGAAAGCACAATTTTTGATAATTAAGCAAGATAATGACATGAGCAACTCACTTAACAACAGCCATGACTTACAACTGGCAGGATTCATTATGGTCATAAGTTAGGTACTACATGTACTTCTTACATGCAGACATTTCTATCCTTAATTTATTTGCTTATTTATTTAAAACATTTACATTCTGCTTAAATCTCAATTTTATTTACAATAAACATTTTACTATAAAATAAAATCCCTTTTTATGCGTTCGTCTAATCTTACATTTTTGTTTCTTTAGCAATGGCAATAACAGTTAAACTTATATACTGCTTCATAGGGCTTTCAGCCCTCTCTAAGCGGTTTACAGAGTCAGCATATTGCCCCCACAGTCTGGGTCCTCATTTTACCCACCTCGGAAGGATGGAAGGCTGAGTCAACCTTGAGCCGGTGAGATTTGAACCGCCGAACTGCAGCTAGTAGTCAGCTGAAGTGGCTGCAGTACTGCACTCTAACCACTGTGCCACCTCGGCTTGATTCTTTCCCCCCTTAGAAGAGAATATATGTGGGTGAGGATTGAACCATGGAGTCCTTAGTGCTCTTTGAGCTTGGTTGTTTGCTTGCAGACATTTTCTTATCTGGATGGTAGGTAACGTCTTTGTGGTAGAAGAAAGCAGGGTTTGCTCTCTATTTATATACAGTAGCTTGCCCAGTCAGTGTTGGTGGGGGTATGGTTTTCACTTTTGTAGCTCCTTGATTTATTTATTCATTTATAAAATTTATTGGCCACCTAGTGGTCTCCCCATAAAATAATTCTGGGCAACTTACAGTCATAAAATATATGTATATTACAATGTAAATAAATTAAAAGCAAAGATTAATCTTTAAGGATACAGGGGGAGAGCAGGGATAGAATGGGGAGGTTTTACTTGAGCAACCCCTATCATTGTGCGTTTCACCCATTGAGGCCCAGGCCAATTGGCAGATCCAGGTCTTTTAAGTCCTTATGAAAGGGGCCAACCTCACATTGGGGAACAAGATGTTCCAGAGGGCAGGAATAATAGCAGAGAAGGACCCCACCAACCAGAACAATCAGGCTGATGGGCCCCATAGCATGCCTCCTCTGCTGGCATGAGTGGGATGGACCAATCCTAATGGAGTGGGATCCTTCAAGTAATGTGTACTTACGCCATGAAGGGCTTTAAAGGTGATTAGCAACACCTTAAATTGTACCCAAAAGCAGATTAGCAACCAATGTAGCTCACAGAGTAGTGGTACAACAGGGGCCAACCCCAAACTGTCTGAACCACTGGCCTCCGCACTAGCTATAAACTGCAAATGATCTCCAAGGGTAGCCCCATATACAGTGCATTGCAATAGCCTTTTGGTCTTTTTGTTTTTGCTTTTAGCTTTTTTATTGTTTCTTTGGAAATGTTGTGCAAATGTTGTTTATCTTTAGGTGCCTGTTGATGGCTGACTTATCTGTATACTATCTGTATTTCTTGAAGTTATTTCCTCATATTTTTTTATTTAGCTTAGTCTAGATGTTGACAGTTTCCCAATTGAAATTATGGTTGAGTCTGTCCATGTGTTAAAACATTACGATGTTTTCATGTCTTGTGACTACTCACTGTAGATGCACTCTGCTAGTTTCTGTCTGTTTGTACTACATATTGACTGTTACAGTCCTTACATTGTATGTTGTAGTTGATTTCTGTATTTTTATTATATTTTTTTTATTTTTGAATAAACACAAACAGACAAAACACAACAAACACCACAAAAATATCTTCCATTACAAATTGTAAAGAGTGTGTCAATTGGTTACAAAGAGCTTTCATGCATCCCTTCCAAAGTCATCACCTACAATCATATCAAGTTATATGTTTTAAATCAAATATATTTATATATATTACAATCAGCATACCTCAATCTTCATATGATTATGATTGTTTTTACATCCCTTTATTTAAAATATTCCAAAATTTAAAACAAAACCACATGATGGCATTCCGTTATCTATTTTCAATATCATCCAGCAACATTACATCTTTATGACACTTTCTAAATAAAAATTAATTATGTTTAATAACAAAGTTTCTAGATCTCCTTTCTTAATCACTGTTTACAATTTATATCCAATTTCCCTTTTATCATGTCAATACAAATATTACATTATTATCATTATCAATCATTGATTTAACAATATCCATCATCATTGGTTTCTGTTTTTTCTTCTTCAGCTAGTGGGTCTTTTAATTTACTTAAAGTTTGGAGAGATTTAGTGGGTTTGCCTGTTATAGTAATGCCGTGTGGTTTTAATAGTCTGTTGGCTTTTTCAGAGATGTTTCTCATGTATGGCAGTGCTAGCTGATGATATAGGCTTCTTTCTGCTTTACTGTAAATGTTTATCAAAAAGTGCCTGACCAGAGGCATGCTTCCAAGTATTGTTTGGGAGATTGCTTGTCCAATAATTGTTTGTTTATAGTACTGATGCTCTTTTAGACTTACATTTACTTCTGTTAAACAATGAGTTCCTCTTGTGCAGTACAACAGTATGGGGATAATATCGAAGTTGTGTTCATGTGTCCAAGAAGATGTTTATGTATACATTTATACACATGGATAAGATTTTATGTGATAAAATAATATCAGGATTTATACATGCATGTATAGAAGTATTAAAGAAAATTGTTTACATGAAAGTATTGACGTATTCTATGTGTTTAAGTAAACATGTTTATGAAAGAATGATGAATATGTGTATGTTCACTTGCATATGTTCATTGATAGTACAAAATAATAAATCCTTACAACACAAGAAAGTGTCAAAATTCACTATAATACTGTTCTTGCATTTCTAAAATGCCTTTTCTCTAGACTTGCTAAAAAAATTATGAGCTAAAATTTCTATCTTGAAAGAATGGTTATATGAGCACAACTAGCAGGATTTCTGCTAATGATATGTTTGGCACATCTGTGTGAGAGACAGAAGTCCTTTGATCTGATTGCCAAGTTATTTAGTGTTCTATAGCATGACAGCATAGCCTAAGTGATATGTGTCTGAATAGCAGATATGCTGCTAGGGAAGCATTTTCAGCAGTGGTGTTATGTGGCAAGGGCTGGACTCAGCACATATGTGATGAGTTACTCCATTTGGCATCTGAAGATTTAAGGCCATACATAAGGGCAGTATATAAAGACAGATACTGGGGCTACATTGTCCCTATTCAGGACATCTACAGATGTGTAAACAAAAGTGGTAAAAGGTAGTTTTTATTACTGCAGCCACTAGTTTTATTTTAAGTTTCTGGACTGCATGTAAAGGCAGGGGGTTGTTAGTTCAATTTTTGAAATGGCTGGTGTAACTACATAGACATCTAATGATAATTAATTAATAATTAATATTCAGATAAATATGATGCCATCAAGAAATGTGTCTTTACCTAGACTATTTTATGGAAATTAGTATGTCAGAAGAAATATAACTTGAATTCAATAGAAACCAAGTAATTAAGAAGTGTATGTGGTAAAACAGGAAGAGACATGGTTAGGAATGAATGGGCCCTCTAGGAATGTAGACTGACTACAAAATTACTGTACAAAGGTCTACTAAGATAGTGTGTCATACAGAGAGAAGGAATCAACCAATTATATGAAGGAAGAATGTGGGGTCAAGTAAAAGGGAAAGAGCAAGAAACTTCTGATCAGTGAAGTTGAAGATAACTTGTGCAAAGCACAGCAGATGTGGCCATAAATAGGGGGCCTATGAGTAGTTCAGCTCCTACAATCCTCTCTGGACAAAGAGAGGACACAGTATTGCCCAAGTTGTTTCTCCTTACAGTTGCTTCTCCCAAAGAAACAAGAAGAGTGATCTTGGGGAAGGGGGATTGGGAGACAAGGGAATTTGCTAAAATTGCTCCAGCTGCCAATGGAGCCTTTTTCAAAGTTCCCTCACTTCCCTTGCTAGCTACCATTTAACTATAAAAGAGCCGAGGTGGCGCAGTGTTTAGGGTGCAGTACTGCAGGCCACTTCAGCTGATGGTTATCTGCAGTTCAGCGGTTCAAATCTCATCGGCTCAAGGTTGACTCATCCTTCCATCCTTCCAAGGTGGATGAAATGAGGACCCAGACTGTGGGGGCAATTTGCTGACTCAATTTGCTAAAAATCTGTAAACCGCTTAGAGAGGGCTGAAAGCTCTATGAAGCGGTATATAAGTCTAATAAATAAATAAATAAAATAAATAAATCTAATAACTGCCTCAAAGAATTTAAATAAAAGTGGATGAGTTGTTTCTATTCTTAATTTAGGAAAATGAAGATATATTTGGTAATCCTTAAGAACATAAAATAAACAGCAAAAAGTGAGACAACTTTTTTCATACAAAAAGTTTTAAATGAGTTAAGGACTCAGAAAACATCAAAATGTTGGATTTTTACAGAGTTAAAGAGCAATTGCATCTTTGTGGGAAAAAGAAATGTTTTTTGAGATTGGAGAGGCAATACAACAAGTAACTTAAAATGACAATCAAAGATATCTTCAAGGATCAACTTCAGGTTTTTGAATTAATTATGTCAGCTATGTTGCCTCTTTTTGGAAACAGTATGTTCCCAGAATAAGATGTTACAGAACAAAATATGAACAAAATTTACCCAAGGAAAACATGATTGAGTGAGTAAGAACTTGTTATCACAAAGAGAAAACTAAAAATAACAATCTAGAGGTCAATTTGAATAATTTCTTTCTTTTTTCTTTTTGGATTTGCAAGAGAGATTGTTTAAAGCACTGAAAAAATTTCCAACAAAGATCACACAAGCATCTGACTGGATTAAAGAGGTATTATTGTATCATATGTTAATTAATATTAATATTTTAGAGATTTGTGTTACTTTTCCTGGCAAACAAATCTACCTAAGGAAACTTTTAGCAAGGAACAAAAATAAAAAATCATCAATCTATAGAAATCAAATTGAGAGCAACTGAGTTGAGGTCCCTAAAAGTCACAACATCAGCATATGAAACAAAACCATTGCACATCACAGACCCATTAACTTCCTGGCTTCAGTGCCTCAGGTGAAAGCCAGGTATTCCCAAAAGCCAAGAGGTTTGGGGCTAGCCGCATCTTGTGAGGAGGTTGTTTTACAAGATGGGTACTATGATAGAGAAGGCACACTTCAAGGGACCTATTGTTTTGCTGATAGGATTCAGAGTGTCTCCAGTCTGACAGAGCAAAGACCATTGGGTACATAGTTAGATTAAAAGCAATACAGTTTTTAAATTATTACTTAAAATATATTAAATATATAGAAAAGCTATTAAAAGCAGAACACATTACCATAAATGGAAAACAGAGGAATCAGGACAGTAGAAAAACAGAAAAAGCTGCATCTAGTTCAGAATGTTAACAACAAATACAAGAGCTGATAATTAGAAACAATGTCAGTCTATTTACAGGATACTCTATTTATAAGGCTGTTTCTGAAAATCTTTTCCAAAATATTGTGTTTTTTTAAAAAAAAAACCTTTCCCAAGTATTCTAATACCGCCCCCCCCCCCGGTGCTAGATTTGTGCACATAAATAAGGAATAACTTCTCTCCTGCCTTTCTTCATGTGGAAATATGATTTTCATCATGCATCTAGATATTGAGTAGATTAAGATATAATCAGCAATGAATCTGATGAATCATTATTTTGTTTGGATTAAAGAGTCTAAAATTACTGAAATCTGGGGAACATGTCAAATAGGATGAAAAATATTCCTTTGTTTAAGAGTGCACATAGTTTGGTCAATAGAAAAATTAAGATTTTTGGAACAGAGGACTGGACAAGGAATATTTGTACATCAGAAAGCAAGATATGGTGATATTAAATAAGCTATTGGAGGAATTCACTGGACAAATCAATAAATACACAACAATATTATTTGGGGGGAAATGCATCTTCATTGAATCGCAAAAATATTAAAATCATAAAACATTTAATTTTAACAACAAGAAGGATACCTTTGGAAGAAGCTGAATTGCCTGTAGAATCCTTTGCCTGTGTCCAGAATTAAGTATTCCAATTTCCAAGAGATCCTGATCCTCCATAACATTGCTTCCCTAAAGTGAACAACAAATAATATTGATAGATATTTTAATACTTTTTAAAAAGTAATAATATTACATTTCAAATTACATAGTCCCTAACTATGTAATTGATATTTAACATCAAGCTAAATAATTATAGATTAAATCCTGATTAATTATCTCAAGATAGATTGAAATGAAAAGAAGTTTGCAAGTTATTTTCAGAAGCAAAAAATAGGAAACATTACATTCACAATAGCAGTAATTACTTGAAAGTTATTCACGTTGTCAATAATTCTCTTGAAATAAAAACAATTCTTTCAGGGCCAAAAATAATTTGAAGGCTGCTTGTACGACATTCTTTCGAACAAAAAAAAAATGATTGCAGTTATATTCTTCTGAGCATTTTGAGCAATAAAGGAATGGTCTCCCCAACATCATATATATGGGAAAACCCTCATAAGTGTTTGAAATCTGTAAACCACTTGATTATCTATTTCCATGTCAGCAGTTCATCTCTGATACAACTCAAAATTTTATTTTTTTATAACTGATTTCCAAGCCAATCTCCCTGCATTATTGTATAAAACACATTAACAGTCAATTATTATGAATAAAGCAATTTGGAAGATCAAAGTGTCATTTATAAAAGTAACACATCATGTTGTTTTTGTTAATCTGAAACAAAAGCAGAGATGGAATGCAATCTTGTTTTCTTCCCTTCCTAGTTAATATAGCATTTGATAAACAACCTTGGGTGCAACATCTGACTTTCAAAAGATGACTTTATCATTCTAAAGATTTCAAGTAAGATGTACTGATCAATTGACAATGCTCCCAATTCCCCTCTTATGTGTGAGGTGCAATCAAATTAAAATGTATAAAAGTTATATATTACAACCTTTAAGCATTGGTCAGTGATAGTTCAGACTCATTTAAATTATGTTTATTCTACTAGAGTCTTTAGAAAACTTGGTTACTTCACTGAGTTTGCAATTTATACAACATACAGAAACCTTTATCATAAGATGGTGACTGTGTAATCAAGGCTGTAAAACTGGGAATAAATGTATGATAACTTTACAGGCAAATACGAACATGCTTTTTGTTTCTTAGGTTCCCATATCTGTTATGCAGGAAAGTAGGTACTTGGCATTAAATAGCTGCCAATGACTATATTATGAATTTTAAACATAGTAATCCTGTAAATCCAAACTACATTTATCTCTGGCCAATATTACAATATACAGTATGTACTGCATTTTTGAAAAGGGGATAAGATTCAAGAATGAAGAAAGGTCCAAAATAGAAAAAATATATTACTTTGCAGAGCATTTTGCTTGCTTATAGCTGCTGTACTGTCCAGCTCTTCATCTTGCCATCCCTCCAGCAATGGAGAATCACATGTTAGTTCAATGTTTCTACTGGTAGAGAGCAGCAAAACCTGATTCTGCATGCATAACTTAAATTACAGTATCTAGAGCCATTCAAGTAGGTTTCAGGATTCAACTTTGGTTATTCTTGCTGATGAACCTGAGGCATAGATTAGATGGGCACATCGCTCCTTCTACTGCTTGAACTCCCAGTGGCTTCAATACAATTGCCACAGTATCCTTCTGGACCACCTGTGGGGGTTGGGAACCACCATTTTACAATGGTTCTCTCCCTCTTCCTCCATGGCTAGTTCCTGTCAAAGTTGGTGGGGTCCTTTAAGCTTCCCGTCGTTCGTGGGTTACACCAGGGTTCAATATTCTTTCTATTCCTGCTTAATATCATATGAAGCTGGGGCTCTTCTTGGATACAGAGATCTTTCTTGAAGAAGAGGTGGCATATATGACTAGGCAACCTTTGCACAAGTCCATCCAATGTGCCAGTTCCCTGCATCACCTTTCCCTACATCAGGAGGCCCTTCCAACAGTCACCCATGCTCTAGTCACCTCACAGCTTCATTAGTGTAACACACTGTGTGATAATGCCCTTAAAAACCACTCAAAAGCTCCAACCAATTCAGAATGCAGTGTACAGGTAGTAATGAGCATTCCTTGGTATGAATACAAGGCACCTTTGGGAGGCACCTCTGAGCAGTCCATCTTTGGGAGCTGCACTGGCTGCCAACATACTAAGGTACAATTCCAGGTGCTGGTCACCATTTATAAAGCCCAAGAAAGCATAGGGCCATGTTTGAAAGACCATATATCCCAAAATTTCTGCTAGGCTAATACATCCCAGCAGTTAGCATGGTTTCTTTAATTAAACAATGCCAACTATCAAAACCCAGGAAATGGCACCTGTCCTCTGAATGAAATCTTCCCTGAAATGTCTCTGACTTACAACTGGCACTGTGAGATCTAATTCTCCCATGCCTTAGGTTAGGGTGGATGGAATGCCTTATTAGATGTGTTTTTATCTAAATTTTTCTACCAAGTCACTGGATCTCATCATGTTTTGAGTTTTGTTGTATATTTATTCTTTATTATATTGCAAACTGTCCAGATGATTTGGAGTCAGAGTATCTTAATTTGATTAAATAAAAATTAAATATACATAAGATACAACTTTGACAAGTTTCCTCTAATTCTAGGAGTGTTAGGGGAAAGTCAGGAACTGCTATATAGTTTTCTCTATAAGTGTCTAGAAAAAGTATGAAAAGAGAAAAAACATGAAAAACATTAGTTTATAATGTTCAACTATCTGATATAATATAGTACTTGCAGTTGTATTATCAGTGATTGATTTAATAGGTTTGTGAAATTTGAGAAATATATGGTTTGGCTATGTTTTATACTTAAAGGTCATAGGGCTCAAATAGATGTAGAGATAGGTGAAATATTAATTGAATTAACACATTTTTGTACATATTTACCTCATTTACTTCTGAGAGACATGAACAGTTCAACAATATGAAAAAATATAATTTTACAATTCCTAAATTGGTATTAATATAATTAGAGTTATATATCAACGTATAGATCACCTTCATTATTCATGATCTTGTTAACTATTGTTTTATATGTCTATGATTAATAATGATCAGACTGCAATATACACGTAAAGGTTTACACGTAGTTATCAATAGTTTTTGCCTTGTTTACTTCACAGATACTCAAAGTGGTAGGTAGACTTTTGTGCGTGGGTAAAGTATAAAGGCTAGGGCTAGGATTAGGTTAAAGGCTAGGATTAGGTTGTCTGCACAAATCTGATTGTGATGCATCCTTCTGAGTTAGCCTGATTACCCTAGTGGCTTTTTGGGAGTGACTCATTTGACTGGTGATGAGAACACCCTATTTGCACCATGTGACTCATAGTGGCTTTTGTACATCTTTTATTATCTCAGTAAAGGAACCTTTTAACTTCATCCTAAAATATTGTGTAGCTTGTAAAATGTCCCTGTGGATCTCTCAATTACACTGTTGGATGCTAGTGTTGCTTGCAACCCACAAGCACTCTGTGGGTAGCACTGCTGCCCAGCAGCATGATTGACAGAGTCCTCCATTACAGGTATGAATTAAAGAGCAGTGATGCCACTGTGAGCAAAGATGAAAATGAAAAACAGCTTCCATGAGAAGCCTTGTGATTGGGCTGACCCAGTAAAATCTGCCAGGAGCAAGTCAGAAGAAACAAATAAAAATATGTTTCATAGACAACCAGGGATGAAATGCTACCGGTTCGGACTGGTTCGCACAAACCAGTAGTAAAAAAACATTACCACTTTGCTTGAATTGGTAATTAAAAAATGCTACTGGTTCGAGTGAACCTGTATTTTCAACGATCAGCTGTGATGCACGATTTATATTAGCTAGAAAGCAGGATTTCCTGTTTTCTAGCTAATCTAAATCGCATGGAATAGCAGATTCCCACCCCTCGCTGTTCTACTTTCATTTGCAGGTGTACTTGGTAGCAGTCTCCGCCCGCCCGCCCACCCGCCTGGACGTTATCACATCCGTTTTTGATGCTCTGCGCATGCGCG